AGCTGATGCCCATAGCATCGATAGATCTTCGGTTTTTCAATTTTCCGTCCTTCAGTTTTATTCTTACTATTTACATCTTGCTTTTTATCCTAATGGCTAATTCGTTCTAAGAGAAGACATATTAGATAGTTTAATAACTAAGCCCAGGCACGTGTGATTCGATGAGTAATCAAGCTTACCGAAATAATCGGCACACACACCCTCTCTCCTTTTCAACGACGCTCTATGATCAACAAGTGTTATATCTATTTCACATGCATCCAACAACTATCTATTGTGTACATGAAAATTGTGTAGCTTTTCATGCTATCTATCTCAAATATATCGTTTATAGACAAGTAATGAAGAGAATAGACCACCAAATCTACTCATAAAAATTCAAAAACACGATCTTTCCTTCTTTCAATGTAAGAGCAGCTCTTCTAAAATTTTACCAGGAAATAGAGGGATTTTTAAAGGCGTAACAGCCACAGTCTTCAGGAAAGACATGTAAACAGTCCTATATCAATACAGCAATGGTTACTAGTTTTCCTTTGTCTAGCCATCACCTTAAGCACAATAAGTTTAATACAATCTTGATGGGATGTTCTATCTGTTTTTCTTTTTTATTCTTGTTTTTGTTTCTTTTATTTCTTTTTTATATTTGTTCTTCTTTTTCTATCTTGCGCTAGCTGCTTTTAGATTATAGAAAAAAAAATATCGGTTGATTATTAAATTTTATTGAAGACTAAGAAATACTACAGAACAATGAAAAAAAACTGAGGAAAATGGAAAAAATTTGAGATGAAATGGAAAGAAATTGGTAAAAATGAAAAAATATAAATATTAAATAAATAAAATGAAGGAAGAAAAGGAGATTAACGAAAAATAAGAAATGAAATGTAATTCAAAATAGGTTAGAATAATGTCCTTGGCGTTTGCTTTATTAATAGAATAATGCTGGGTTGAGTTTGTGTTTTCTAAAAAGAAAAAATATATTTATTAACTTTTCAGTAAAAATGTTATACAGGTTTAACTTACTGGATTTGTTGGTAAGGGATCGTTTAAATATGTGTCTGATGTAGACAAAAAGTATCCGAATTACCATTTCATTCTCTTTCACATAGCAAACAAATACTACCGAAAAAATTGTATTCATCTCCGTTACTCAATCCAATGCGAACTCTGGACAGCAATACCATTAACCACATTCGTATAAAAGGTAAATATTGCCAAGCTTAACATCATACCATTATTCCTTTACTTCCAATATAAGTATAAAATAAATACCGAAACAAAACAATCTATGGCAAGTAAATAGTATGCACTAAAGATTAATTCTTCTATATTCATCATGTCCATACAAGGGAATAGCTTTTGCAACCTAATCGAAGCATCATTCCTGACGGCTTCTACCTACCAAACCTCCTTCTCAACTATTTCGTTCATTTTCCCGTCCTCATTAGACAATACCAGTCATTACTGGACACCGCATAACAAATGAACTTGATCATCTATACTTCCATTTATCTATATCAGTATTTTCATACCAAAAGAACATTTTAATATCTTTATCCACAATTACCTATCCCACGTATTTATCCATCAAAAGCTTCATTCAAAAATACTATCCGTTTTCTATCAAAGCCATATCAAAAAACTTTCACCGAAACTCCAAAAACAACTGATTCTTACTTACAAGCACTATATTCATCTATTTCATTCGCATCGAAGTGATAGCATGCTATTGAAGCTATCGGTAAACACCCTCTGACAAATGAATACTTTTCATTAATATTCTATTCATCTCTTTGACTCGCATCGAAGTGGTAGAATGATGTTGAGTCTACGAGTAAGCATCATAAGACAAATGAATACTTTTCAACAAGATTCTATTCATCTCTTTGATTAGCTTCAGAGTGGTAGAATCATCTTGACTATATCACTAAACATCATATGACAAATGGATACTGTTCACGAACATTCTATTCAATCTTCCATTCGCATTGAAGTGGTAGAATGATGTTGACTGTATGAGTAAGCATCATAGGACAAATGAATACTTTTCATTAATATTCTATTCATCTCTTTGATTCGCATCGAAGTGGTAGAATGATGTTGAGTCTGCGAGTAAGCATCATAAGACAAATGAATACTATTCAAGAAGATTCTTTTCATCACTTTCATTCGATTCGAAGTGGTAGAACGATGTTGACTCAATGAGTAAACAATATATGTCAAACGAATACTATTCAGTAAGATTCTATTCATCTCTTTCATTCGCTTCGGGGTGGTAGAACGATGTTGAACCTATGAATAAAGAGCGTGTGAGAAATGACTACTTTTCACAAAAATTCCATTCCTCTGTTAGATTCGTATCGAAGTGGTAGAATTATGTTGACCATCTCAGTAGGCATCGTATGACAAATGAATACTATTCAGCACGATTCTATTCATCTCCTTCATTCGCACTGGAATGATACAATGATATTGAAGCTACGAGTGAACATTATATGACAAATGGATTCTAGTCACCAACATTCTAGTCATCTCTCTGATTAGCTTCGAAGTGATAGAATGATATTGAAGCTATGAGTAAATATCCTATGACAAACGAATATTGTTCACGAACATTCTGTTCATCTCTTTCATTCGCCTCGAGGTGGTAGAATGATGTTGAATCTGTGAATAAACAATATATGTCAAACGAATACTATTCACTAAGATTCTATTCATCTCTTTCACTCGCTTCGGAGTGGTAGAACGATGTCGAACCTATCAATAAAGCGCGTGTGTGTAATGAATACTTTTCACAAAAATTCTATTCCTCTCTTTGATTCGTATCGAAGCGGTAGAATTATGCTGACCATCTCAGTAAGTATCGAATGACAAGTGAATACTATTCAGTAAGATTATTTTCATCTTCTTCATCCGCACCGAAGCGATGGAATAATATTGAAGCTATGAGTGAACATTATATGACAAATGGATTCTGGTCACCAACATTCTAGTCATTTCTCTGATTAGCTTCGAAGTGGTAGAATGATATTGAGTCCATGAGTAAATATCATTTAACAAATGAATACCATTCAACAAGATTCTATTCATCTCCTTGATTCGCATCGAAATAAGAAAATGATGTTGAACCCATGGGTAAACATCATATGACAAATGGATACTATTCAGTAACATTCTATTCGTCTCCTTGATTCGCTCCGCAGTGGAAGAACGGTATTGTATCTATAAGTAAACATCACATGACAAAGGGATAGTATTCACCAATATTCTGTTCGTCTCCCTCATTCGCTTCCAAGTGGAAGAACGGTATTGTATCTATAAGTAAACATCACATGACAAATCGATACTATTCAGCAACATTCTGTTCGTCTCCTTCATTCGCTTCGAAGCCGAAGAACGGTATTGTATCTATAAATAAACATCACGTGACAAATGGATACTATTCAGCAACATTCTATTCGTCCCCTTCATTCGCTTCGAAGTCGAAGAACGGTATTGTATCTATAAATAAACATCACATGACAAATAGATGGTATTCAATAACATTCTATTCGTCTCCTTCATTCGCTTCGAAGTGGAAGAACCGTATCGTATCTATAAATAAACATCACATGACAAATGGATGATATTCAGTAACATTCTATTCGTCTCCTTCATTCGCTTCGAAGTGGAAGAACGGTATTGTGTCTATAAGTAAACATCACATGACAAATGGATAGTATTCACCAACATTCTATTCGTCTCCTTCATTCTCTTCGAAGTGTTAGAATGAGGTAGGATCTTTCAGTAAAGAGCGTGTGAGAAATGAATACTTTGCACAAGGATTCCATTCATCTGTTTGATTTGTATCGAAGTGGTAGAATGGTGTCGAGACTGAGTAAACGTCATATGACAAATGGATAGTTTTGACAAAAATTCTATTCATCACTTTCATTCGCATGGAAGTGGTAGAATGATTTGGAATCTCTGAGTAAACATCCTATGAGAAGTGAATACTATTCATAAAGATTTAGTTCATCTCTTTGGTTCGCCTCGAAGTGATAGAATAATATTGAAGCTATGAGTGCATTCCGTGAGAATGAATATTATCTACAAAAATTCCATTCATCTGTTTGATTCGTATCGAGGTGGTAGAGTGATATTGAAACCATGAGTAAACATCATATGACAAATGAATACTATTCAGTAAGATTCTGTTCATCTCTTTCATCGGCATCGAAGTGGTAGAGAATGAGGTTGCATGTATGGGTAGACATCATATGACAAATGAATACTATTCAGTAAGATTCTGTTCATCTCTTTCATTGGCATCGAAGTGGTAGAATGAGGTTGCATCGGGGAGTGAAGATGATTCGACAAATGGATAGTAGTCAGCAACATTCTATTCATCTCTGGGATTCGCTTCGAAGTTGTAGAAAAGTTTTGAAACTATAAGTAAGCTTTATATGACAAATGGATGGTGCTCAGGAACATTCTATTCATCTCTTTCATTGTCATCGAAGTAGTCGAATGATGTTGAATCTATGAGTGGACTTCGTATGAGAAATGGATACTATTTACAATAATTCTATTCATCTCTTTAAGTCGCTTCGAAGTTGTAGAATAGTTTTGAAACTATGATTAAAGATTATATGAGAAATGGATTCTACTCAGCAACATTCTATTCATCTGTTTGAGTCGCTTCGAAGTTGCAGAATAGTTTTGAAACTATGAGTAAACATTATATGAGAAATGGATTCTACTCACCAACGTTCTATTCTTCTCGTTGATTCACTTCGAAATGGTAGAATGATATTGAATCTATCAGTAAAGATCGGGCGAGATATGAATATTTTGCACAAAAATTCTATTCATATCTTTGGTTCGCATCGAAGTGGTAGAGTTATGTTGACTATCGCACTAAGCATCGTAGGGCAAGTGAGTACTCTTCAAGAAGATTCTATTTGTCTGCTTCATTCGCACCGAAGTGGTAGAGTGATGTTGAATCTATGAATAAACATCATATGACAAATGAATACTATTTAGCAAGATTGTGTTCAGTTGATACGCGTTTTGTTTACAAAGTGGAGAAGAGATGGGCTTGTGAAGGAAGTGCGGCATTAATGTATGATGTGTACGTTGGTCCATCANTGGGTTCCCAGGTACGGGAACCCCCGGGTTCCGCGTTCCCGAGTACGGGAACCCGCTCGGGTTCCGCGTTCGCAGGTACGGGAATCCGGACTAAGTTTCGCGTTCCCCGTTCCTAGGTACGGGAACCCGAGATGGATTCCCGTACCTGGGAACGCGGAACCCGGGGTGGGTTCCCGTACCTCGGAACGGAACCCGAAACTGACACCCCTAAATGTTGACTTAGAATTTCTTAGTTGGTAGAATGCAAGTTGATCTCATATCTAAAATAACTGTTGTTTTTTTTCTTCTATTCATTAGCATAGGTGATGATTAAAGGACGAGTAGATCGAGTGACAAAGAGCTTTTTTTTGTATATAACCGGATGCGTCATCATTATCTTTGCTGCTATCGATCTTCTGCGTCAATGCAAATAAAACTCATTCTTTCACTTCTCTAGATTTTTACGAATTATAAGTCATGTTTTATCTTGACTGATAGTCAAATTTTGCAAGTTGATCGTGTGATATAGAATAAAACAACATGTATGTAGAACAATATCCATAAGTACAACAAGATCCACCACCATATCAAAATAATTTACAAGCTAATCGACAATCACTCAATTATTATCGACCAGCAGAAGAACGTATGGTTGATTTTCAAGAACTTGTTGCTCGTTATGAAAGTGAGTTTAATGGAAAAAAAACAAAAATTCTATGTTTTCTCATTATTATTTAGTCAACCATACATTTGCGACAAAATTACGTGCGCTTGAAGGTTATGAAATAGTATTTATATGTGATGATTCAGGTTCAATGAATACTCCACTTGGTAATTTAATTTTCAACGTCTAATATATTTATTTAATTAAATTATCGTATATTATATTCTAGGCGATCTTTCTGTGCCTTTTGATAAAATGCCATCTCGATGTATGATTAAATAGGTCAATATTTGAATGTTAATCTTTTTTTATTATTCTAGGGTATGAATTAAAACAAACTATATCAATTGTTATTGATCTAGCTAGTGTTTTTGATCCAGATGATGTTGATGTTTGTTTTCTTAATTGTGAACCTGTTTTTCATGTTCGTAATTCAGAACAATTGGTGCCTATCTTTGCCGTTCGACCATCTGGTATGTTCAATAATAATAGATGAATGTTTCTTTTTTTTTTGTTTTTCTTGTTCAATGAATTCTTTTTTTTTTTTATCTAATAAGATCCAACTCCGATTGTTTCAGTTTTTCGATGTGTACTTCGTGATAAACAACATGAAATAGAAGAACGTAAATTATTGATACTTTTAGCAACTGATGGTGTACCAACAGATAATCAAGGTCATCGAGATATTCGTTCATTTGAATATGTTCTTAAACAAGAACGTAAACCAACAAATCGTATTCCTGTAACAATTATTGCTTGTACAGGTATGAGATAAATTAAAATTGACATTATTTCTTTATAATAGATGATGATGATCGTATTGGGTATTTAAATGATTAGGATAGAAAAATTCCTAATCTTGATGTTGTTGATGATTATAGAAATGAAAAAAAAGGAAATTCAAGCACGTCAAGGAAAAAATTTTCCATTTAGTTTTGGTGATGCAAGTTATTTTATATTATTTCTATGAATAAACTTTTTTTTTATTAAGTATGTTGTTAAAATATTAATGGGTGGTATAGATAGTTGGTTTGATGACTTAGATGAAAGAAAAGTTACAACTGATGGTTATGGACGACCGAGTAAAGATTTTGATCGTAAACGAAAAAAATATCGATGTACAATTTTATAACAAGGTATTGACAAATAATTCTTCACCATGTAAATATTATAATCAATGTTTTTCAAGAGAAGTATTTTTCATCAGATAATATAATAAAATCGATTCTTCGAGAATGATTTGTTTTTGATAGTGTTTTTCAATTGAGTGCTAAATTTTTTTTTTGTTTTCAATAGAATTGTGTTATTACATTTTATCGATAGCATAACTTAAACATATATATATAATTGTATAATTTTTCATTACAGACTCATCTATCACTTGATAATCATTATTTTGGTAATAATGTTATTTTTTATGAATGAATCGAATTTCTTCAACGAAATTTAATCGTGAATAATGTATATAATTTTATTTGAATGAATTTTTGTAAAAAGGTCGACCCTGATAAGACGCTCATAGTATATATGTAAACGAGAATATGTTTATGACGTCTTATTTTTTGTAATAATTCTATAACGCAAAAATAATTCAGTTTTTTTCTTTTTCTTGTTTTTCTTCTGGAAAAGAAAAAACTTATATGTATTTATTTATTCTTTATTCATCATTTAGAATTAGTCATGTTTATGGCGATTTGATTAAAACGAAAATTAAAAACAACATCCAGTGATTTTGATAAAATGCGTTAATATGATAAAGCATTTTCATGTTTTAATACAGATCATAAGAAATTGATATGAAAATTTTTATTCTATTTTGATGAAACAATGATAATAGCCTTTATCAATGTTAAGTATTATTCTCCATTGACGTGTTTTATCACCATGAGAAAGCAATTTACAAGAAATTCAACAACAAATTAGTCATACAATTGACTTTTGATATATTTGTCAAAGTAGCACAAAATTTTAAAAACAAATAATAAAGAAAATAGACGATGATATATATGAAACATGTCATGTACAGAAGAAGTTCTCGAATTAATACATAAAGTTGATATTGATGCTAATGAATAGTTAATATCTGACTAACTAGAAATGTTTTTTTAAATAATCTCATTGATTTTTGCTATTTTCATTTAGATGCAACTGTGAAGCTTTTATATGTATTTTAACAAATGAAAAATACTTAAATATGATCGAATTTTTCATCGATGATAAAATGAACAAAAAATAATATACATTCCATCTAATAATAAGTCTAATTGCTTTTCTATGTAATCTCTATAATTCATACACTTCTCTTTTTTTCTTTCTTTAGTATTCTATTTTAGCAATCTCTATCATTCAACATATTTCTTTTTTCATTTTTGCTTTTTTTCTTTCTTCTTTCTTTTTTTGTTTTCATCGATTGGATATGAATGATAAAATAGTTAAATTATTTATTATTATTGTATTTAATTATTCAATATCTATCTGATCATGATGATAATACTACAAGGAAAAAACATCGAAGTATCATATTTTCATTTTATTCTACATCTTTTCATATTTAGTTCGATTTTCTTGATTTATTTCATTAAGTGATGTATTGTAATACATTTTCATAATTATATAGCTATGTATAATAGACGATAAAATAAAGCATGATAATATTGTTCTAGTTTCTTTGTCACAGTAGAAGCAACCAGTATTAGACTTCATAGTTATTTCAGGACTAAGTAAGTAAAATGATTTATGAAAATTTCAAAACATTTGCTCTTATCGTATGCTAGAATGAGGAGTTGTAAAATGATTTGTGAACTTCTGATATCTTATTAATATGTCAACAGACAAACGAAGAGAGAAGTGAGTTGTTATTTTGTGTTTTTTCTCTCTCTCTCATTAATATTGGACGAAATTTGCACATGTATAAGCCACTTATTATTCTTTTTTCATCGCACACATGCTATGCAAACCATGCTATTATTCGAATTAATACGATTTTTATTTTACTTGTTATCTATTGTCATACAAGGTCTACTCTCTTCTCTCTCCACACAGCTACTTTACATCGGTCATGGATGAGTGATCAATATTTTTTTCGAGCGTCGGCTTTGTCCATATTTTTTCTTCAATATTTCTATCGTTCATGATCAACAGATGTAGAATGAATAGAACACTGTTGTGAACAATCACAAATTCATTTTGTATCAATAATATCTCTCGATATCCTAGTGAAATCCTATGACTACTGCCTTCTCATATGAAGGGATGTTATTACAGCAAAAGCAACGCATATGAAAACGTACACACACATTTTTTTTCTCCTTCAGTTCTTTGTTACAGTGTTGTTGTTCAACAAGGCAGCTTTGGAATTACTTTAAATGCATAAAATAAAGAATACTTTTGATAGATCAACGTTATTATTATACAATGATGAATGAATGTAGAAAAAACGAAGCAAAAAACAGTGAAGAATACATATCAAAAAAAAGATCAACGCAAAGAATATGTAAAAGAAATGCACATTCACAATGACAATGGTCACTCACCAGATAATTCTCATTAATTGATAGCCTGGAACAGTAGTCTCTGTTGATCAAGCATGCAATTGATTATTTGAAAGAAAAAAAAACTGTTGTGCTGCGAAATAAATAAAATATATGCAATTAAAAAGATCTGTTATTCGTTATGTTAAAGTCGCATGAGCAGACATTTAATCGATGATGCTACCTATCAACATCATCAAGAAGAAGAAGAGTAAGACAATAAATGAAAAAGAAAAAGCACATATCCGATTCGATCAATGACTTCGACTATTCAGCACAAAACAAATATCATCACCAATATCAAGACACATTATTTCAAAGAAAATCGATACTAAATTTATTTTATTCATCTCACATGTGTGTATGTGACTTGTTCTGTTAAGTTAGATTATCTTTTTTTTTCTTTAAACTATAGTCACGTCTTTTTATGTTAGTTTTTTGAACTCAAGGTGATTTTGTTTGGATTCCTCTTTCTTTTCTCTTTTCTGTTTTGTTTTTCCGTTCTCAAGCTTTCTACACGTGTGTATAGAGAGTGAATGGATATTTACATGTTTTGTTGTTTATCGATAATAACTGTTTCATTTTGTACAATGTCAACGCTTTGTTCAAGAAAAAAAAAGATAATAACAAACTGAAAAACATCGCTATGCTCTTGAAAGTTTGATTAGGATCGTAACTTTTACATAAATCAAATCAAACACATATATTATGGTGATAAAGGAAATACATGACAAATATCTTCGGAGGACCAAAATAAAAGTGAAATTTATTTGTTTTTTTTTTCAAGTGCTTCTTTCTGAGAGAAAAGAGAGAAATCGATTTATTATCAAATGAGGACTAAATAAATAAAAGTATAAAGGCGATCAATCTGATCATTAGAGTTGGCCACAACCACTTTTCTTCTGCTGAATGTGTTTTTTGCAAATAACATGCAGCTCGCTCTCAACGTTTTCCATTCAATCTCTAAATACGAATTTCAATCACTAATACCGTCATTGATATGAAGTTGCAGAGAAAAAATGACTACTGTTTTAGTTCATCTACTAGCTGATTAAAAGTCTGATTGACCATTGTGAAAGATAAACATATGGGCTAGTATTTATTTGAGCAATAAAAATATTTGAATGAGCAATAATTAACATACGATTTAGCAAAAATTTGTGAGCAATAAAAAAAACTTTATTGAGCAATTTTATATTATTAAATGGACAATAATTAATTAATTAAATATCAGTAATAATTTCATATTTTAGCAATAAATAAAAGAAAAACTGCGTTATTTTTAGTTACAATCGAAAATATAGAAAAAAAAAATGAAAAATAAAGTATATTATTGGGTCAATAAAGCCTTTTTTGCCTGTATGGTCTGCCTCCGTTTCTTACGTATTTCTGTAAATAAATGTGTTAAATCGGTAATATGATCTTGTGTATATGATGTTTATTTTCGAAAAATAAGATCCTTCCTGTTATCATACACATGTAGACTTGTATCTGAGATGGTATAATATACCAGAGATAGATATGATACGAATAGAATATATCTGAATGATCATTTAAAAGAAAGAAATGAAAAATCGAAGAGAAAACAATATGGGAATGTATCTGACAGTAGGGAGCTGCATCAGGTTTTCTGAACTCTACCAGAAGATTTTGGGTCATTCCATTTTTTGGAATATTGAACTGTTTTTCGAATACACATCTGTGGAGCAATGTTTCCACTTTCATACAATAGGATTATAACTGTACAAAAGACATTCAGAGTTGAAAGATTTTAAATAAAAAGGTTGGAGTTCATACTTGGACTCTATCAGACCCAGCTGTATGGACTCGGACGTTTTTTGTTTAAAAATCTTCTGCTTTGAATGGTTGTTGTACAATTCCAATCGCGTTGTCTGAAAGAGTAAATATTAATCTACAAAATTTGTATTCGAATAACCATTCAATATTCGAGATGATAGAATGATTCCTTTGGTCGAATTCAGAAAACCAGTACAGCTAACCAGACAAAAGAGAAAGAAAATGAAAGGTGTAGATACATATGTAGAGAAAGAACGATACCGAATATGTAACGTATAGCATAACACAACTCTGTCTTATAGCAGATCTTTAGAATTTAGCATAGCAAAATGAATCCATAGTGCCTCTTTTTATATAAAATTTACCTTTAATTTAAGTAAATTATTGCTGATTCAGTATATTTATTGCTCATTCAATATAGTTATCGCCTATTCAATATAATTATTGCTCATCCAATATAATTATTGCCCATTCAGTAAATTTATTGCTAAATTTCATTATTGCTCATTTCGATTATTTTATTGCTAAATTAAATATAAGTCTAAAAATATGTACATTCTATTGACTTTTTGTTTTTATTTCCAGCCCTAAAGCTTTTATTATTTTTTAACAATTCATCTTCCTTCTCATTTCCATAGACTATCCCCCTAAATTGTTATAGAGCTGGAGAGAAACTGATATGCATACCCTCAAGAGACCTTCCATTCTCAGTAAATATTTTCGTACATTTTTGATTTCACGTGATTCATATATATCGTTTATACGGAGCAATATTCAAATCGATACCACAGAGTCCACAGGCATC